CGTTTTTTGTTACACCCCTAGTATTCATTATTGCCAGAAGATGATTTCAAATTATTGTGGTGGCTCCCTGACCTTTCTGTTCAGTGCCACCATTTCCACTTGTACATAAGAAACATTACATTGGGTATATTGCACTGAAATCTGCTGAGGATATTCCATAGATTGTATAAATAAAAATTGACCTATAGTCTCTGTAGCGTCACCCATAGGTTTTTCTGAAGAGCCGTTGTAAAGCTCAGTGTGGTCGGCTCAGTCCTGACTCTTAACGCATTAATGTAATTTAAACAGGTGAACTACATAAAAATTCACCCCCAGTACAACTACAGGGACGCGATTTTTGTACCAGGCTGTGAACATGTTTATTTCTGCTGTAAAGCATTTTAATATGGGGCTTTATAGAGATTGACTCACTTCTGGAACCAGCCTGAAGTGGCCATAAGAGGAAATGCAGCCACAGAGGTTGTCGATTGGGGAAACTGAAACTTTTTTTTATTCTGTGGTGTAATACACATTGCTGCTAGTGGGGCTTTTGAGCTTTTTTTCTTTTTAAAAACTGTTCCCTGTCTGGTGTACCAGAAAAGTCCCCAAAAGACTGTCATGAATTAGCAATTGTATTTTGATCAAACAAGAGTTTTAAAGTACAACTAATAAATAGTATAGTATATACAATATATCCAACACTATTGTGCAGTTGCTAATTCATGACAGTCCTTTGTTGATTTTTGGGTGCAAAGCAATAAATTGATTATGCAAATATTTATGTAAGCAGGAATCGTCTACTTTTTCTACAAACAAAAAACATAGAATTATTGAAAGATGCTATGATCACAAAAATATTCTACATACTATAGTGGCTTTAAGTTTCATCATTCCTTACCTTTAGTAACTCAGGGGCCTGTTTCTTCAGCTTCTCCATCTTCCACTCATTCTCACAGGGATTGAGGGAGGACGGCGGGGCCGTGCACGAGCACTTACAGTCGGATCCAGAGCTGACTGTCTCCACCGTGTAGAAATCTTCCACACGTACACTGCCACTCCGCAGCCGCAGGCATGCATCTTTACTTAGAGGGCGCATGATGCACTTACAGCGGCAGTCTGAACCCTCTGACGTCATCCGAACAGGCTCAGTCTCCCCAAAGATCTGGAAGACAGAATGTGAATCGTCCCATTTTTATATCCAATGAAAATTGGTATTTTGAGAGTTGTTTTTCTTAGATGCATGAAGTGGAAATGTCTCTTTATTGTAGTACTATTGTGAACCAGAACAATGATTAAACATATCAGGTGTGGACATCCACGGCCTAAATTTCACTGTATATTTATCCAAACCCAAAATCCAAAAGTGTAAATACTGAGCTGTCCTTCCACCTTCCAGTCATCTACTCCATCAGTCTATCCCCTGCTGGACTTCCACGAATAATAAATCATTTTTTTATGCAGGGAAACAAAAACAAGGGAAGGAAAGTGATCCTGAAAAATAACCACATGCTTCCCCTCTTTTGAATGTTAGCTGGTGTGACTCAGAGCAAAGCCTCAGAGACAAACATAACTCACAAGACTCCTGCATCACCAGCTGGCCTTTGGCAGTCATGTATGATGACAGAGCTCTGGCAGGCCGTGGTCATGGCTTACTTAACAAACAGGAAGCAATGCATGGCAGCCTGTGCAGACATTCTGCACTCTTCATATGTGAGACAAGTGCAGCATGGCAAACAGTGGAAATAGCTTTCACACAAGAATTCAACTGCACAGATTTACTGCATGGTTGATGAAATGTTCAGGTGGTGGTAGTGAGTTGGCAGGCTGAGATCCACTGAGAACTCTGTGAATTTCTCCACTTTGTCTGTTAAAATTACACAGTGAAGGGTGGGCCAGTTCAAGACACTGAAACCTATTAGGTTAGATTTGTAGATTGGTTTTGCAACAGCTGTGTTCTTGAAAATGGCCTTTTATAGCTGCTTGCTATAAAAGACCTTGCTGTGAAGTGATGTGAATAAAGGAGTCTTCAGACTGAATTCCGTTTTATTTGTATAGCACCAAATCCTAACAAAGGTTATCTCAGGACACTTTTCAGAGCTTAAACAATTATTAACAGAGATCTAACAGTTCCCACCACAGAAAGCAAAGCAAGTTTTCATGCAAACCCACAATAGAATGCAAATTTGTACTTTTGTACTAATGATTTAGGTGGAGGTGAAGAGATTGAGATGTTTCAACTTGGGCAAAACATTCACATGTATCCAGAGGCTTAAAGAGGTAAGAGGAGAGAAACAGGACACACATTGCAGATTTTATTTTATGTAAGTGTTTAAGTGTCTGCACCATTCTGTGGTGGGTTTACAAGACACTAAACAACATTAGCCAGGATGGCCACATGACAAATCATAATGTACAGTCCCACAAATCCAAAAGGTCCAATTTTCATGAACAAAATTACTTTATTATGTTGGATATTTGGTCTTAATTGCCATGCATTTTCTATAAATCCTACTAAAACTAAAAACTCTTCCTTAAAGAGCCAACTCAAGATTTCACCCAGACAACCAAAACAAGTTCTTCAACTGGATTTGTTCAAACAGATGGTTCCACAAGTCATGGAATTTGAGGTCAGTCATAGTCTGAGCTGTGACAAAAGCACAGCACAGGCACACATTAAATTCCAGCAGGTGGCAGCACCATTGGCTTCAATAACACACCGATCTCATTCACTTGAATAGAGAATGAGCCGAGTTGACACTTCCTTTATGAGCTCAGTAAACAGTTTTATTTACTGACAGTTTTATTTCATTTAGTAAATTATGATCTAATTTAAATTAAAATAGACGATAAAGTCACGTCCCCTGGCTCTGTTTTACTGTCATGGCAGCGGCCAAAACGCCTAACTGGAGGCTTCAAAATGATACTCCACAAACCAATGGGTGACGTCACGATGGGTTCACACTTGGTCAGGACAAAGAATGGCACTGAAAGCTTTTCTCCGTGGAACTTTTTTTTCTCTCTCTACTCCCGACTGATTACAGTCATCCAATAAGTTGCAGAGTATTTTTTCAAAGTGCCTGCCCTTTTCCAAACTATTTTAAGGACAACTTTCTAGATGGTTCTGTATAACAAATCATATGGTGTAGTCAGGTCACTTTAAAGTCTCACTGTAGTAAAACCTTGTCTGACCTTCAGCACACACCATAGAGACATCTGAAAAGACTGAAGGACTGAAAAGACATGACTCTTATGTATCAATATGTACTGTATATTACATTACATACACAGTAATGCAGCTTTTTATAGTACTAGCTTGGTTTCTCACTGGCTATCAAGATTCAGTTCATGGGATGTACCTTACTTCTGGAGAGCTTAGTTCCATCATTTGGAGTCATGGCTGTTGGATCATGTGTTGGAGGAGGTTTGGACTGTCATCTCTCCCTAAAGAGATTTAGGGACCTCTATAAAGTGCAGGATGGGTGCACATGTGGTATCACTTTTATCAGGGAGAGAATTCAGCAACACAGAGATGTCCTCATGTGGTATATTCTGAGGTAGTATTCTCAGAATATGAAGAACACATTGTAGAGACTCAGGTTAAAGATTTACTGAGATGCCAGCTGAGAGGGATATAAATTAACCCTGTAAACCAATGTCTTTTCAATTCAGTCCAAAATGGTGACCATTTCTTTCTTTGTAAGGAGGTTTGTCAATAAATGGAAAGGTCCTCCTGGTTGTGTCTATAAATCTCTAGTTATAGTTTATCAATGAAAAGCAATCTTTTCTCATTGTGGATATTTTCACAAATGAGACCATTGCCTTTCAATTTAAAGTGCAGAAGGAAAAGTACCCTTTTAAATATGACTTGTATAAAGACAATAATATATTATTTAGAGATAGAGCAATTTACAGTGCATGAGAATGCCAGAAAACTCAGTTAGAATTATGACTTTGTTATTTGGTCATGTTGGCTTTCCATATGTTCAATTCTAATTTATAAAGTCTTTTAGTGGGGCGGCAGCGGTCTGAAGGTAAGGGTGAGGATTGGTGGAGGTAGTACAGGCTCATTAGTGAAGGAATGCAGGCTGAGTGATGGGGGAAGATTTGAAGGGGGTTGGCTTTCCCCTCCATTACTGTGGACATACTGTGAGGGGGTCTGATATGGGGGCAGGACTCCTGTGTGCGGAGCCAGGCGAATCCTGACCCATGTCAAGCGAAAAGGCAGCAGGTTGACAAATCCTACAGCCACATGAAAACAGAGTGGATTAGCAGATTAAACTTCTTTTAGCCTACGGGCCTGCTGAGCCGCATTGTTCAACCCCAGCCAAACACTGACTGCTGCGTAGCAACATCAGCCTAAGTTACTTTAAGTTGGAGAAGTCAGAGAAATTCTAGCCAGATCTACTTTGGTACTTCATGTTAACATGGACTAAACCATTACCCTGCAGGATTTACTGCTGGAGGAAGATTTGGCTGCAGCCTATCATGAAAAATTGGAAGAATTCTGCCAATCAGAGCAGCTGCCTCCTCCTCCTCCTGTCAAATCATATGTGCTGGTATGCCTAACTGACCGGCCAGCATCTCATGCCAAGCTGACCTATCAGCATGAGAACAGGCAACACAATTAAGAGTGCTAATAATTAAGAGTACAGAGTATTTAACGCATGCTTTGAGCTTTGAGTCTTTGGCTTTGACCTCTCAAGTGCAGTCAAGTTTCAGGTCAAAAAGAACACGGCTCAAACATGAACTCATGTCTGCACAATGGGAGGAAAAGAGCCTACACACTGCAGAGAGCTCTATTAGATCACCCGCCACAGCCTTTTACAGCTAACACACCCTGACAGTGATGAAGTGAAAGCCCAATTGTGCTCAGGATTGCTAAAAACACACCATGTATTACACAATAGCTGCCGCAGTGGTTAGCCTCAGAGTTAGACTCAGTCTTTCAGTAGCAGCGGCCTGTTGTATCTGCAGCCTTGTTCATATAAACAAGGATATCCTCTCCTTTTAGAGCTCTGCCAGCTGGCAATCACTGGAACAACTGTATGGTGAAGAGGGCAGGCAGTGCAGGTATCCTGCGGCAAAGCTCCAATGTTCAGCTGCATGCCCCAACCTTCAAACACAAACATCAGTACTGTGGTTCCTGTTATGACCTGCACCCCATCCCCC